CCGTGAATGATCAACAGTTTTTAGTCATGAAATTCGAAAATATCTATATTCATGGTATTTTTAATACCAATATTTTTTTGGGTTAACTATAAAATTGATGAAAACAAAATTACTTATCTTTAGATTTATCATTTTGTAATTTTGCACTTTGTAATTTTGTGTACAATACAATATAGATTTTGATTCATAAAATATTTCAAATATTTTGTGTAACGAAAAAAATATTTAAAAAGGTGTGACGAGCTCTGCTGACTGCTGCACAGTAGGTTACAATTTACAAGTGGATCACTGTAATGGATTGTGTTAAATTTGAATTCAATGATATAATAGCAATGTATAAGAGTGAGCGAAAACGTTCAGTCACCTATGATATTAGATACTAAATAGGTATATTTGATGATATTATTGTGAGTAAAATAATGTATATATAACCTATTTACGAGGAACCTTGCTTTAAATTTTCAATCCTTATAGCTATAGCCTATAAAAGTTGAACATTTTATACATTTTTAACTAAAAAATAATTTTTACATTTTAAACTTCATAAATGTTATAATATGTAACAATATATCAGGAGCCTTGTATAAAATTTGAACGCTTTTTCACAAAACAAATAAAACTTTATTAACAAATATAGAAAAAAAAACTAAAAAAATTGAAAATTGAAAATGTCCACAAACAGCTCAAAACGAGAGTCAAAATGTTATTTTATAAAGTATGGGAATAGATAAAATAAACATATGGTGTAAATTCCATGTAGGTACCTATGTACCTGCAGTTATTCTTTTTTTTTAATTACAACAAAATAAGAAAATTGATAAATGAGAAATTGGGAAATCGGGTGAATATCCAATGTCGCCAGTGGCGTAAACTGGATGGTGCAAATGCAGCACTTGCACCACCACATCTAAAATGTGGTGGTGCAAAGGTATGTTTTTGCACCACCAGAAAATCATTGAAATATATAATTTATAAAGAGATACAAAATAGTTATTTTAGTGCATGTATTAGACATTATCATTTAAATTATTACCCTATCTATATTCTAAAATATCGTACAACCCCCATAAATAGTTAGATTATTATCTATGGTAACCACTATCCACAGAATTTTGTATTTTATTATGGCAGTATCACAGAATCACGATTAAAGATATTTTTTTAAATTATATCTTTAATCGTGCACAGAATATACGTATAATATGGTAAAATTATATTGCTATCAACATTCTACCGCCAAAATAGTGTGTTATCACTGGATCAATGTTCATTCAATTCTCAAAAGTCAAATGTCAGATGACAGCTAGACGTCATATTGAATCAAATTTTAAAATTCTCTACAGGTTTCATAAGCGCCAGGAAAAACAACATAAAAATTAAGGAAAAACAGGAATTTTTACCCGAAATCGGTTTTCGACAAAATCGATTTTGGTTTTTGACCAAACAAATGAACATATACATATATAATTGAAATATTCACTGGTTGGGTAAAAAAGCTTGGGCATTTAATACAAGGCTCCAACTATATTGTTACAATGACATTAGAAAATTATTAAAAATCCTTAGTCACAGTTTTTTTTATAAGCATTTAAAGTTTAAATCTTGACAAAATACAGAAAAATCACGAAAATTAACAATATAATTTGAGTTGAAAAAATCATAAAAATGTTTCTTTTTAAATTTGAGATTTTAAAATGTAATATAAGATTATTCATAAGTTTGTATACGCCTTTATCAAAAAAAAAAAATGTCCACAAGTAAATCAAATTAAATTTTTATGAGCATTTGAAAATCATATTTTTACAAGATTGGATATTCACTAGATTTCTCATGTAGCGATTTTGTTAATTTGTTGTTATTCAAACAAATAACTGTAAATACATGAAAATTTATATATTTATATTTTAATTTTCTATACACCACAAAGTTTTGAAAATATTTTAACTCTCTTTGAGCTGTTTCCGGACATTGTCATTTTTATAGTTTTTTTAGTTTTTTTTTTTCTATAAATATCAATAAAATTTTATTTGTTGGGTAAAAAGCATGAAAATTTAATAGAAGGCTCCTGATATATTGTTACAATAGCGTTGAAAAATATTAAAAATACATAGCCACAATTTTTTTTTATAAGCATTTGAAGTTCAAATGTTGACAAAATGTATGGATAAATATATATATTTTTTTTGTTAGGAAGGGTTTTACTTAGAAAGTTGGATTATTTTTGTGTTGGAAATTATAGGTTAAGAATATGCCTCTGCACCACCAGAAATTGGACCCAATTTACGCCACTGAATGTCGCAAAAATATAAACTTCAAACAGTCATACATTTTTTTTTTTTTTATAAAGGTAGACAAACTTATGAGGAATTTTGTATTACATTTTCAAATCTTAGATTTAAAAATAAAATTTGTATGAAATTCTAACTCATAGGTAATAGTTTTGCAAATTTTTGTTATTTTTAAGTATCATGTCAATAGATTTGAACATTAAATGCTAATAAAAATAAAATTATGACCATGGATTTTTATATTTGTGATGTCATTGTAAAAATATAATATAGGAGGCTTGTATTACATTTTCAAGCTTTTTTACAAAACAAATATTTTATTGACATTCATGGAAAAAAAAACTAAAAAAAATTGGAAACTGAAAATGTCCTTCAACAGTTCAAAGCAAATTATTTTGAAAATTTTATCTTTTATAGAAAATGTATAATGTTAATATAAACAACCCGTGAAAATTTTAAGTATCGACGCTCATTTGTTTTGGAGTTACGCCAAAAATCAAAATCGATTTTGTCGAGAAAGCAATTTTGCAAATTTTAAAAAATTTAAATAAAAATAAAACACACATCATTGCAAAATCAATACTTTCATAGCTCCTTTCAGAATCTAAAATGAAACGGTTTATACAATGTTATTATTTGGTCAATTTACAATATTTATTATTTGTTTTTAAAAATTAATTTCAAGCATTAGTTCTAATCCAATTATGTACCTACCTACCAATTTACTCACTACAAAATTCAGTACCTAGTGATCGTACAAATAATTAGCAGTTTTTGCAAGTGACTTTGCCAAAACAAATATAGCAAGAACAAATATATTTGCCAGAACACGAAAATGTATTTAGAACCAAGATAATAATATTATCTACCTATTAATATAAATAATAATAGATATCATGTTATTCAGTATTTATCTATATTATTAATATTTTAATAAACGAAAAACAAAACAATTATAATAAATCTAAGCAATTTGTACTTATCCTTATTATAGTGCTGTACATAGCAATCTGAAATAATTAAGATAATTATATTTCCATACTAAATATACCTAAATATAGCTCGCTGTTGCTAGTGACGCATTGAATATCACCGTTTTACGACTTAACGTATTACCTATTAGTTCCATTTAATTAATTATTAACCAATAAAACGATTCAAGCATAGAAATCCAAACAGGATTGAAAGTTACCTACCTATGCCTTATAATATAAGATACCTAGTACCTACCTATAATATTATTATATACTATAATAGTAGTATATAGATTAGGTATTGTCGTACAGACGTGTAGCATTTTGTATGTAAGATGTACCTAACTAGGTAACTATTCGTTTACTTGTATAATACATTGATACCTAATATAATAAATTTTTTGTTTCGAATTAAATTAAATGGTAGGTATCTATATTAGGTATGCACTATATTTATAATATAAACCTGGCTAGACCTATGCGGCTATGCCTGTATATGCTTGTATCTAGGAATATTCTTTAACTAAATGCCAATCATGTATATACCTAACTAAGTATAATACTATAATACGTAAAATATTAATAATGATAAATACCAAGTGAACGAATAATGATCATTATAATAATATGTGTAAGTATCTATATAGTATCAAGATCAACATTCCACACGTCTTATCATTTTTAAAAAGTAATTAAAATTAAAATTGTGTAATAATTATAATAGGTATTTATAATACCTACCTATTATAATATCGGTACCTATACCTACCTAGTTGACAGTTGTTATGTGATGTAGATTTAAAAATGATATATATACGAATAGGTATTATTTTAAAATATTATTTAAATGTTTTTTAGTACCTAATACCTATTTTAATACTTAGTATAACACACACGTGTTCCTCCCCCTACCGTAATAACAACACACAAAAATAAACCACTAACACCCAATGGCCTATGTTGCCGCGGGTTATCCAATAAAAAAAAAAAAAAAAAAAAAAAAAATACTTAGTATACTTGTCTGTATACAGTAAACACATTAATGGAATTCATCAATCTATAGTCTATACAATACAATATACATAAAAGTATTTAAGTATACAACATACGTCATACTTAAATGCAATATTTAATTGTATACAGTACGGGCAGTACAGCGTATATATTTTATAACATATTATACATATATCTACAAACTGCTTAGTTGTAATCTCTTATCGTACCTAATAATTTTGTCATAAATCAAATCACATTTATAAGTAATATCTTAGTTCATGATAATAACAGTAAAATTGTCGCCTACTCCACACGAATGTAATGTCATTCATTCCAAATGTTTGTCATCTATGTATCACAGAAATAGAAACTTACGGCCTACGCTGAGTCGGACATATCCGAGAATAGTATTTTTGGAACCACTGCGCGTCCAAACAGCTTATGCGATAGGAATTGATTCTAAGTATGATACTAGGTTCAGACGAGTTGATTTCAATTAGTGCTGTTTCACATTTCTATAAGCGCCGTTGAGTTAAATTTTTTTTTTCAATTTCCTCCTGTTGTAGGTTGTTAGCCATTTAAAGAAATTACATTTGCAAAATAAATCTGTTAACGGTCCCTAAGGCACGTACGCCTTTCAGTAATCAATCACCTCTTAGTCTACTATATTCATACAGAGTAACATTATATTGGTAGGTTACACTACAAGAAACAGAATTTTGACTAAACTGCTGTTACCGATATGGCTAACGGTACAAAGAAACTTGATGAACACAACCTAATGGTGCTCCGAGAACAACTATCATTGCCAGCAAATAAATATTGCTTTGATTGTCACCAAAGAGGACCAACATATGTGAATGTAACCATAGGTTCATTTGTCTGTACATCATGTTCTGGACTATTGTAAGTACCTATCTATCTATTTAAAATAAAAGTGTATACATTTGACATTTATATTTTTTTTTACATCAATAATAGGTATTATAAATTTCATATTTAGGTATTGTTAGGAAGTTAAATTTTATTTTACTGAAAAATAATTTGACATTATGATAGATAAATACTTAAATTAAAATTTTTGTTCACATTCAGTTCATTTATACAGGTACCTAAATATTAATTTGAAAATCCATGACTCATGACCCTTAAAGTAAGTTCAACCACTTATTTTAAACAACATTTAAATCAATTATATCCTCTTGTTATTATTTAATATTACATAGGTTTATAATGTAGGTAATATATAATATTATATAAAGGTACCATTTGTATAATAGTTAATGTTCTTAACACAACTGAAAATTCATATAGACAGTATTTTATACTAAAGTACCTACGGGTACCTAGTAAATATTTTTTTATTAATAAAAATATATATTTTTGACAACAAAATTGTTTACTTTTTTCTGTAGGTATTTACATTTTTAGTTATTATTTTCTGGTAAAAATAAATCCATCTAGGTACTAAGTTATTGTTATTAAATGTAATATTGCATATGTTTTTAAAATAAAATATTTGTTTATCAATCCTTCAATTTTCACTTATCATTGTTTTTAAAACAAAAACGCCAACAGATCCTATACATTTAGTTTTGACAAAGATTCAAATTAAATTTTAAATGTACTAAGAAGGAGATATTGACAGCTGTATAGTAAATAGATAGGTAATTTTCTATGGGTCCCATTATTTACTCATCATAGGTATATTATTCCTACTTTTTAAATTATATATAGGTATCTATTACCATTCACCTACCAATGTACGAGTTTTTATTTTCATATTAAGGAATTATAATTGGGTATTATTTTATTGTTTGATGAATATTTCATGATTTATTACCTACCAAAAAATTTATAGAAATCTGTATTAATAGTACTTATCTATTGTAGATTTATAATTGATAGGAAATTGAGCCCATAATTGTTGGCTTTCATTCTAATTAATATGTGTTTACTTCTTGTTTTGCTTACTTCCTTTGTAATAAATGTTAAAAAGATAATTGTATTAAAATTAACAAATAATAGTACCTTAATAGTAATTAATTATCATTTAATTAATACAAATATTTTATCACACATGTTAAATAGTTACAAACTAATAAATAACAATATATCATTTAAGTAGTTATTTATATAATTATTTATTTTAGTCATAATTTGCTAATAAATGCTTATTATATTTATTTAAATTTTGTATTTGTAATATCACTAATTAATATTAATTTAAATAATAATAGTATGGAGATTATAGTATTATATTATAACATAATAGAATCAATATTTAAAAATATGGATCCTAGATAAATAAAAAGGCGGACAATTGAGTACCGCTCAGCTGTATAGTAGTTGTAGAGCATATCGTTGTAATAGATGTGTTAAATTTGAATTCATTGGTTAGTTGTTTTGGAAATACAACAAAATATTTCTAAAAATAATAGAATAAAATTCGTTAATTTACCAGTGAAAATCGAATATTGTAAAAATTATAAGTTCAAACCTTCATAATAATTTAATGTTCTACTTCAGTAAACTTTTTTTGTTTGTTATAGGTAGAAAACTTATTGGAAATCTTTTATAAAAATGTTTAACCCTAACTATGAAAGGAAAAACGTTAATTTCTAACTGAAAAATTATTTACAATATTTAAAAAATGTCTCATGGCTATAAATTGATCAAAAAGAGTCAAATTTGTATGGAAAATGGTAATTTTAACATTTGGTTGATTGTTTTTTAATTTAATTAAATTATCAATAATCGATAGAAATTTATAATAAAAATCCAATATTGTAAAAATTTTAAATTCAAACGCTCATAAAAAATTAATTTTACTTTCCGGTAAACTTTTTTTTTTTTGTTTAAAACAGAAAAATTTATTGGGAATCTTTTATTAAAAATTCTAATGTTAGCTATGAAAATAAAACCTTTTATGAATTTCTAGCTAATAAAGGGTTTGAAATTGAAATTTGTCAAAATTTTAACTTTAAATGCATATAAAAAATTATTGTGTATGTATCTTTAATAATTTTAAACTTCCATTAATGAAACTTATAAGGAACCTTGCATTAAATTTTCAAGTTTTTTTACTTAGGAAAAAAGTTTTTAAAAATACCTAATAATTTAAAAAAAAATTTCAAGACTATAACTAGCTTAAAAAGACTCAAAATATTTAATAAATGTTACCGTATATAGAAATTATATAGCTAATACAAATATTTGGTGAAAATATCAAGCTACGGCCTTTTAGTTAAACCAAAAAAATTATATCAAAAATTGGTTTTGCTTAAAAATTAACACTTTTTTTTGTTTTTCTTGACGCTTTCTAAAACTATTTAGAATGTTCAATTTTGATTTACCTAAAAGTACCAACTAGATTCAATTTTAATCATAAAAAATGCTGATATTGAAAATTAGCGCATTCTTACTACCACAACGTTGAAAACAAGTCTTTGTAAATACAATAAATTATTTCGCTCCGCTCAGAATCTAAAATAGAAAATGTTACAATATGTTTCTGCTATGCAACGGATACTGATGAATATTGTAAGCATAAAAATGTATTTTGGCTGATTAACCAGTTATTTAACAATATTATTCTGTTCAATTATTATGTTGTTTACAACACTATAATTTATGGAGATAACAAAACCAAATTGCCCAATAATGTGAATATGCATCTCATAGAGATTTTTATGTTTTAAGCTTCCTATTTATTATTTTATTTACAAATAACTGAAAATATAAATTATAGTAACATTTGAACTATTAGTACATTCTACCTACTGTTAAAATTACAAATATAATACTGATAATATTGTATATTTAACAATGTTATAGTCATCAGTATTGATTTCCTGTATGTGAGAATTCAAAATACTTATATTTGTCTATTATAATATGATATACCTTTGTACATTGCATAACAATATGTATTTTATTAAAATTACTTAGTTATGTATGATTCTTAAAATCCAATTCCTTTTAATATAATATTAAAATAAAATATTAAAATAAATAATATGTTAACCAATTTATTTTGATTGACAAGATTATTATGGATATATTATTTTATTTTATTTATCAATGATTACATAATATTATATATAATTATATATGTTTTCATTATAATATTATTGATGCCTTTAATTTGATTAAATCCATAATAAGATATTTTAACAATTATTCAATAAGTTAAAAATATTTTCTTGGAAATATCAATTGTTTCTCCATTCTATTATTTTTTTTAATCCAAAAACTTTTATTTATAAAAAGTCTTATAAACAATATATTTTGAACTGAGATCCAATCTGAATAAAGATTTATTGCAAATGCATAACAATAATACACCACTATCCATCCTGGGACAAACAATAGCTGTTAATTATTTTGTCTGGATTTTTAGGTTAATGTTTTTGAATATCTTATGAAATTAATTGAGGTTTATCAAAAAATATTTTAGAATCTATCCTATTTATTTCAACCAAATTGTATTAATGTTGAATAAAATTAGTTTTACCCTCTTAAATAGTCAATATTTTAAGTATATAATTATTTTAGACTTTTTATCGAGATTTAGAAAGCAAATAACATATTGATAGCCTATGCCCTATAGGCTAAGAGTAACAAAATAACATTCATAAGTTCATTAATAAAAAGCGGGCAAGTGGGGATTAACGTTCTGATGTACATTAGGTGTCTAGAGAAGTCACTGTAATGGAAAAGTTAAATTTGAATTCAATGATATACAATCATTGTATATGAAAAACAATTTTGAGCGATAACAGTCAGTCAGCTAATAATATTAATAAATACCTAGGTATATTTTATGATATTATTATGATTGAAGTAATTTATGTTAGATACTATTAGGCATTAATACTTAAATAGGTTAAATTAATTTTTACCCAAAATATTGCATCTGAAAATGTCATTGAATGTATAAGATATAATAATATATTTTGAAAGTTTCAAGTACCTTAGAATAATATTTTTAAATTACAACAAAATAACTAAAATCTTTATTTAAATATCTAATTTGGCCAAATTTGAACTTAAAATGTCTGTAAAAAAACTGTTTTTATTAAAAACTGTTACTAGATTTTTTTAGAACTACTTCCGTGGAACCTTGATTTAAATTTTCATCCCTTAGCTATAAAAATTGAACATTTTATACATTTTGAACTACAAAATAATTAGCAAATTTTCAATTTGATAAATTTTGTTAAAATATGAACTTTAAATGTTTATAAAAAAAAAAAATAGTCCCTAATATGTATTTTTAATATTTTTGAACTGCTATTATAAGAAAGTGAGGAGCCTCATATTACATTTTCAAACTTTTTGACCCAATAATTAAAATTGTATTGATATTTATAAAATCAAAAATCAATATATTCATCTCTGCAAAATCTAAAATAAATACATAATAATATTATAAAAACACCAAATTTGGTTTTTATACTTAAAACATTAATCCACTTGAGTAATTTGTACAAATAACAAGCAAATTATAGCATAATATAATATTGTTTATAACTTAGTCGGAATTCATATTCTTTTAAAACACTTAAAATATGATGTTAATATTCTCTAAAAAATTAGAAGAATATGCCAAAATAATCAATAATTCTCATTATGTACTTAACATGCCATTTTTTTTTTTTTTTTTTTTAATTAGTCTGGTATACACTTATGTCTTATACACTTGCATAACTAATAGGTAACCTACACTAACTAACAAGTAACAGTTCAAATAGTGTTTTTGTTCGTTGTACGGTTCTATACACTGGCTTAAAAAGGGTTTAAAACTAGTGGATTTTTTTATTTAAAAAATTTAAAACATTCATTTGCCAAACCAAAATATATTTGGACTTTTAATAAACTAATTTGTTGTTATTATCAGTATAGGTTAGGTAATATCACTGGGTGTTTTTTTTTATCAAAATTATGTACACCAATGTAAAAAAAATATGGTTTACCAACCATATTTTTGTATATATTGTAATATTAAAATTAATAACAATAGTTTTAAAAATTAATTAAATTAGTATTTTTTTCTGATAATTTACCAAAATATGCTATATAAGCTAAATATTCTATAACCCAAAATTATAATGAAAATAAAACAATTTACCAAATTATAATGTAACCTAATCATTGATATAGCTGTATGGTATATAGCAGATCAAGTTACCCTGGTTTAATTTTAGATTCTGAGCTAATTGATGTATTGAATTTACAATGATGTGTATTTTTATTTTTTGTGTCTGTCATTAATTTTTAGGGTAAAAAAAATGCTAGGAAAGTGAATCAAGTTTCCATTTGGTACTTTGGGAAGTAAAAAATATAAAACTTCTAATAGCTTAAAAAAACTTTACACCGTTTTTTAATAATATAAATTTTTTTTTTTGACTGTAAAATGAATAACTTTAGATACTTCAATTTTTCACCAACTGTTTATATGATCATTATCCATACACAATACAATTCTAAAACCTTTTAAGCTATTTATGGAAGTGTTCAAATTTTATAATGTTCCTCATAAGTTGTTATATTATCAGTTAAAAATTATTAAAGATGCATTAACACCATTTTTTTTTGTAAAGCATTTAAAGTTCATACTTCCATATTTTTAAAATTATCAAAAAAAACTAAAATTTGCAAGTTATTTTGTTGTTAAAAATTTACAAAATGTTAAATTTTTAAAGTTAAGGATTGCAAATTTAAAACAAGGTTAAAATAAGTAGTTAATAATGTATCCAAAGAATCTAAAAAATATATTTACACAATTTTTTTTTATAGATATTGTATGTTAAAATGTGGACAAAATCAGATATTTACACAAAGAAGTACAATTTTAGTTTTTTTTTTTTTTGTAATTTAAAAATATTTATTGTGGGCACTTTAAACTTTTTAAGTAGGTATATTATTATATTTTATACACACAATGGCATTTTAAAATGCAATGTTTTTAAAAAAATTAATTAAACTTACTGTGCTACTTGTAGTAAAATAAATTACTTTAATAGCATTAATAACATAAAATATAGTTACTAATAAATGTTGACAAACTGTGATTGCTCAAAATCGGTTTTCGTCAAATTGATATGATATCATTGAATTCAAATTTATCACATTCATTTCAGTGACCCACTTGACATCTAGATACTGTATAGCAGAATGGTACCCATTTGCACATCTTTTTTTATATTACAGTTTACACATTTATTATTATTTTAATTGATTCAATAGAGATAAGAAATGTATACTTTATCTATTTATTTAAACATAATATTTTTATAAATAACAAGGTTAATAAATTAAGAGAGGTTTGAGTATGCTTAGCTCCTTATTTTCATTCATAGCGCCCCTCTCCTCGGTTGTTAGGCATAATTAACTTTTTTTAAATCATTTAATGTTAAACTTGTTGTCTATCAATTTTCATCTATATTTAGTAGGCACTCAATAATTAATATTCATTATATTTTCAACAGCTTATAAATAAGTATAGTAATATTAATAATAATAATGTAATTTTCATGAAATATAATTTATCATGATCATAGTTTGTGGACTGTAGAGATCTCCCCTGATTTATGATAATATTATATAAATGAATACAAATTTTTAACAATTATTAGAATTTAATAAGAGAGATATGAATGAATGTCTTGATAGTTTTAAATATTTATGGAATTATATGAGGTTTAACTAATACAAAGTTAATTAGGTATTAGTCATTTTATAAAAAAAGTTTAATCATTGCATTAATATAACACCTCGTATAACACATTTAATTGGTATGTGTATAAATAAAATTATTTTCATTTTATTTATTTAAGAGTGTTGGGAGGGGGTGGGGATCAACTATGTGTTAAAATTAATAAAGACACCAGTGAAAAAAATTATAAATTTATTCTAACTCCTTTAAGTAATAATTTAATTACTAAATTCTTGATTAAACATCAAATAAATTGTATTAAAAATTATTACTACCTACCAAATAAAAACTTAACGCATCTTGTTTTATTCCTTGAATAATATTTGTTGGTAAAAAAAATTTGTAAGAAATGTATTGTTATTTAAGGTATTTTTAATGAATAATAAATTTTATATGGTCATTTAAAAACTTGACCTGTTAATAAATCATAAGTATTGAATTTTCAACTTTACATATTTTTAATATACAATGTATAATATGTATGCTATAGGAGAATTAAAACATAAATGAATAATCAATTAATATAACCACCAACTAGTACTATAAATTAGATAGGAGGCGGTAAAATATTTAAAATTATTGATGACATTATTTGTCAAATTGTTTTAATTTTCACATCTGTTTTAAACAATATTGTTTAGTGTCAACAAAGTGACATATGTGTTGTATGATAAATTTTAATTGCGTAGTTATAAAACAAAAACTGTGACCATTTATTCATTTACAATACATTTGTGTTTTAGACGAGGTCTTACTCCACCACACAGAGTAAAAAGCGTATCAATGGCAACATTTAGCACAGAGGAAATTGACTTCATAAAATCCAGAGGAAACGAAGTAAGTAATATCTTATATTGCAGACAGATTGCTTAAGAAAAAACTTAGTGTTTTTGTGAAATTTAATATTATTTAATTATTTTAATATAAGTATTTAAGTCATAAACAATATTACAGATACCTGTGATGCAATTTATAATGATAAATATTTATATTACTGATACATTTGTATTGTGTAAGGCACTAATTACTAATTAGACATTATCTATTAAAATAGTACCTAATCATATTAACTTGATTGAGGGCAGTTATACTTGAAACATATTATTTTTAGAATTCTTTTCATTTTGTAACAAATTTCTGTACCTATTCATTTTATAGTTTAAATATTTTTTTCTCTTATTGAAACAAAAGTTGAATACAAATTTGTATTTTGTTTAATTGTTGTGACTTTTAAGCTGTGCAGTATTGTAATATTACAGTATGTGCTTGTAGTATTCTCCCCACTCCCTGTGAGCGTTTTATTTATAACTGGTACACACCACATTAGTGTATTAATACAATAATACTACTATTGTATCATAATTTACAAAAATAATTTTTAGAAAACTGAATCTCAACTAGCTGTTTGCTGTTAGGTAATTATTTTGGATATTAATGATTAGTAAAATATAATTAGTAGATAAATAATAACCAAGATAATATTACTTCATAATATAGGCTTTTTTGATACAAAAATAAAGATAACATAGTGGCATAGTACATAGTGTTGTAATGTTGTAAATAATAATATAAATAAAAATAGGTATACAATATAGAATATGAATTATAATTAACTACACTGTGGTCTGAGACTGTGAAAACTAAAATAATAAATTTTGCTACCATGGTCAGTGTCATTGTATCTTTTAAATAGGTATGTAATTTTATGCTTATATGAGTGCTTAAGGGCATTGCATACATTACACATGTGTGCAATAGTTGTATTGAGGTATGCTTGTAATACATACAAAAATAATTTTTTGGTCATAATATTCACATACAATTCTTTCACACCCAAACATAATCAAATTGCACCACTAGACTAGGACTATCAAATTATAAAATATAAAACAAATTATAAAATGGATAGTATGAATTAATATTAATATCTAAGCTATACTAACTTAAAATACTTTTTATAATTTTTGGTAACCACAATACTGTATTTACTTTTAGTAATATTAAAACAAATAATGATGGATCATTATCTGTTTTTAAGAATAGTTATGTCATATTAGTATTAACCATTAGCATTTTCTTAAAATGTTGTCATAACCTTTGCATGTAACTGTAACATAATCACTACCTATTATAAATTATATATAAGTAGATTAAGTAATTAGTAAACTAATAGAATAAGTTATTTGCTTGATAATGTATTTCAATTTATTTTAGTATGTGGTCATTCAATTACATTTAAGACAGTTTTTTTTATTATAAACAATGTTTTAACAAATACGTTTAGTTTGATGACGTACAATCTTGTTTAAACTGTTTATGTTATTAATTAATGTATTTATTTTTTTTAATTATTCATCCTTTAAATGTCTTGTTTAATACTATTAGACCAGGTTGCATGAAAAATTAATAAATTTAATGGACTAACCATGGGACACTAAATCATGTTTTAGGAACCATTAGCTCGGTATTGATTCAATAAAATTTAATGTTAAGTGAATGTTCATGCAACTCAGAATTAGTGTATCATTATTTGGGCATACAATGTAAAAATGTATTAGAACAGCTAATCAATATCAAACACATTATGAATTCAAGTTTTTGTAACTTTTAAAATCAAATATAAATTATTGGTTCATTTTTTACCCATAAAGAAATAATGACTATCATTTTAATATACTGTGTTTCAATCATGCTATTTCTGTATAACACAAACAAATGCTCATTATTCATTCAAGATGTTATGTATGATGTATAACTCAATTACAACAATGACGGGAAATTTAATCAAATATACACTTTTGTTGTAGAGCTGTCAAAGGGTTTGGTTAGGAATGTATGACACAAAACAACCTACAAAAGATGAAAAACAAATAAAAGAATTTATGGTTGCAAAATATGAAAAAAAAATGTATTATTCTGATCAAGTTTCACAAAAACTAAATAATGGTATTCAAGCAACGCCTGCTGTTACCACTTTAACAACAAATCATCAAGTAAATAAATTATTCAAGCGTTTAAGTCTTATGGAAAATATCTATTTTAATATTTAATTATATATTTTTAATTTATTAACTATTTATAGAACCCTAGTACTACTACTACACCTGCAATAAATATATCATCCCCAAACAAATTTGAGTTTTTAAAAGAAGAACCCTCAAACCAAAATCAATCTCCAACTCAAACATCTCAGTCTTTTGCAAATTTTGAAAATAATCCAGTGTTTTCTACATCTTTTGATACTTCCAAAAATATTGGTATGTATAACATTTATTATATTTCTAACCCTTTCACTGCTCCAGATGTATTATTACGTCCATATAATTTATAATATTCTCATTTTCCGCAAACCGTAAAAGTTTTGGAAACCATGGTTTGCATTATTTTATATTAAATATTTCAATAATAAGATCATATAGATCTCAACATTTAAATCTTTAAAAAAATTAAAAATTAAAAAAAAAACAAATATTATATTTTACGTAGCATACAGCGGTTGATAAATAGTGTAGCAGTGAAAGGGTTAATTTAATTATTCACATGTAACTACTAAACTTGTTTACTATTTAATGGTAAGTTTTGCCCTTTTACTTCCAAAAAATAATATTTAAAAAAAAAAATGTTAAAAACTAAAATTGTGAGGTCTGAATATTATATCATAGATTTACTTACTTAAAGTTACTGAAATTGACAATTCTGTTGTATTTGCAGTTTGGTATCTATTAGTTTTGGATAATTTTCTAATGATTTATTTTTTAATCACAAAATATTACAATAATTATAATATCTATGATTTTATTACTATAAGCAAATTGTACAAATGTGTACATTTAATTTAACTATATACTATGTTTATAATACAGTGAAAAATGTTATCAAAGTTTAAAATAAATATATTTTATTTTAATAAATTATATACTATTATATTTTAGTTCAATAGTGCGGTTCACAACCAAACTTGAAGGACGGCTAATATAAATTGTATAACTCATAGCAATATTAGTTTTCTTTTACATAGTACACAATATGTTGCAGTATCAATTTACATATTTGCTAGTATTTATACTTCAATATTAAAAATAATAGAATAAAACTAATAGTAATTTTAATTATGTATTATAAAAAGTATTAATGACTTTTGAATGTTGGTATCATAATTTCTGTCTTAAGTTATGAACAAATGTATTAATATAATTAATTTGTAAGCTTCAACAAATCTAAACTCTGAATCTACTTCTCTTTTAATTCAGGCTTTTGCAATATCTGCTTAAAATCCAAATTTAAAAGTGGGCATGCTTAATTTTTTTTTTTTAACATAATACCTCAAATTTTATCACTATTTTGTAAGTAATATACCAAATTTACGTTTAGTAGATCAAAACAACTTTGTTAGTTTTAAAATATGAGCAAAATGACAAATTACTAAACCTGATGGTAAAAAATGTTGTGTTTTGTTGAAGGTTTTATTTTCAATTCTTTAATTTTTATACGAGTTATAAGTATACAAAATATTACATTTTAAGTTTAAAAATAGCTAAATTCACACTTATATTAAAAACAATTAAATTAAATGTGAACTGCTGAACAAAAGAACACAATTGTGGTGTGGTATCCTCGAAAAAATATTAAAACAGAATTTATGATGACCTAATATTTATTGGTTTGTGTTAAGACTTAAATTTTAAGTTTGTTCAACCACTTCAAACTGGATATTTTGATTATTTGACATCAAATCCAATACAATTTTCTCCAGCAAGAAAACCAAACAACATAAATAATCGATGGAGTGAGTCTTAAATTGGTTTGATGATGTGATTATTCACGTCATTTTTTTAAAGCTTAGAAATAATTGTTTGAAATAGCACTTTTTTTTTAATATTTGCTTGATAACATCAGTATGTTCTCTTTTACTTTATATTTATTTGTACAAATATCCTAAAACTATATTTTATTTAAAATTATTAACTACATTTTAGAGTCTACACTGTATTTTTAACTAGAATAATTTAACTACACAATCACTTAATTAAAAAATTAATATTTTACAAGCTAGTGTATAAATTAAGTTCCAAGATTAGTTGCTACAATTAAGCACAGTTTTATTGTCTAGATATCAATAATATATTTTACTACATTTTTTTTTTATTTATAAAATGTAATATTATAAAAAAAATTTAAATTTATAGTAATTTAAAAAAAATAAACTTTTTAAAATCAAATTTACTATGCCTACATGTATTTTTTTCTTACAAATGTGGTTAATTTGAGTTTAGCAGAACTAAGAACCTATGACTTATGTGGCTTATTCTGAAAAGAGTAAAGTGACTTTAACTGATCAGACCATTTTTAACTCAATACAAAGTAATTTGTACATTTTTATGATTTCGACAAATTGTATGAAATTTGAAAAAATACATATAAAAAATAAAACTGATAATGACAAGTTTTACACTGTTATTATTCTTACCTTTAAGTTTGATTATTTACAGTAAATTTAATAATATTAAACCCAATGATATAAAATGGATTCTATTGAACTCAAACTGGCTAAGTTGCACATTTGTAAGACAGAAATTAAACATGCAAGTGTTGAATTATCACGTCCTTTTAAAAGGATATTTTTACATACTTAGATTCTGTATGCATGCTAGTATATAAGTATATTTGATAAATAGTTTTATAGAATAGTATGTTTTTTGTGTTTTGGTGTGAAACTTAAAATAGTATAATATGAAATATAATTTTTATAAATACAATTATTTATTAAATTTAATAATAATATTTGTATTAATATAAATACATATATTTATAAGTGTGCTACCATACATAAATTAATAAACACATTAGACTATTAGATGAAAAATCATTTAAACAAAAAGCATAGTGTCTTTAAATAATTTTAATTTGGCATAATATTAGATTTGTATTGTAAAAATAGTTGAGCATTTCTTTTTTTTTATCATGTGGATAATAGTGTTTATTTAATATTTTATAAACAGGGTTCAAATTCTATAGCATTTGTTAATTAGGTACTTTTTAAAATCATTTTTATTTAGTGTTTTTCATAAATTTTAGTTTAAAAGTGAAGTTAAGCAGAATGAAAAGAATAGTGTACAAATTACAAATTTACTTATGTTTTCTATAAATTTGTATTTTAGATTATTTTGAAAATTATTGCTTTGTGTTTTCTATATTTTTTATAGCAAATTTTGTGTCAATTTCAATATTTATAATGGTGCATATTATTGTGCTTTTTTGTGCTATAAAGTCTGAGCCTTGGTAATAAATAATAATTAATCAATTTACATTTTATACTGAACTACCTTACAAAAAAAAACCAACTCAGATGCTTATTCTTTAATTTGCTGTATTATTTACAAGTTTATTGCATAAACTATAGGTGTAGCAATTGAAAGTACAAGTCCAAGTACAAGTTGGAAAGCAAATGGTTCTCAAGCACCTACTGAAGACCGTTATGCTGCATTGAAAGATCTCGATTGCTTAATGAAATCTCAAGTTCAACAAGATACTCCTCCCCAACTAAATAATAGTAACAGTTCTGCATGGAGTAAGTAAAATAATAGTTTAATTTAAAGCTAAACTTACTGTAATAAATGTTTATAGGTTCTGATGCATCTTTGAATGGAACATGGAGCAGTCAAGTCTCTGAAAATACACCTCAGAATCCATTCAAAAGTAATAATGCTTATAGTTAAGAAGACGTCACACCCGCTTGTGCCGTCTCTGTCTTAAAAATGTACAACATAGCAAATATGCATCCTGCAAAACAAATATGCCAACAGGTTTAAAATTATAAACTACTGACCCAGCTGTTATTCAATTTGAAGGCAAGAATATTATCTAGTGCTGTCTTTTGCGAAACCCACTGGGTTCTACGAATAACTTGTAGGGGTTCTATTACTCAAAACTTCAACCTCCTTTTTTGTTTGGTTATTAGTACTAATTTTCATAGGGGTTCCGCATAAAAATTTTTTTATTGTTTGGTGTTTCTTGATCTCAAAAAGTTTAAGAAACACTGATCTAATCACATCCCATAGGCTCTGAATGCTATTTTTATTTTAAAGTAAACTTTTAACAATATTCTTAACTTTAAATTTTATTACAGGTCAATTCACTCTATACTAAATTCATAATAAGAATGGTAGGTGCGTCCGCGATGGTCAGAAATCGGCGTCCATGAATTGTATTGTCAGATGCTTCCCAACCGAGTCGACGCGCTAGAGGCCAGTGCTTTGGAACAAGCATAAGTTGACCACCAGTTACCGTTCTTATTTTGAATAGAGTATATTATTTATATTTTTATTAACACTAAATTTGTTCTGCTGAAAGCAAAATGGTTCTGTTGTACATTTGTTAGATTGAAACCACATTACTGGTATTACATCTACTCAACAATATGTTTTATTATTTACTATTGATATAAATACTAATAATTTTATTCTTTGTCATTAATAATTTAGATAGTGTTGAAGATGATTGGGCATCAACAAATCATGTAGTTAACCCATTTGCAAATAATATACCAGGTATATTGAATTTTTAACATTAGTTATTCAGTAGCATATTTTTTTAATATATAATACATTCAAATATAAATTACCAAAATGAAATAAAGAATAAGAAATAGTGAGCAAGTAGGTACTGTATTAAGTAGGTTCTGCCTGTAAAGTAGGGGTCAAGTGTAAGTGTACCGCGTCATTTAGTAAGTCATTGTATGTGGTAAATTTGAGATCAAAAATAAGTTGTTGTATACAAAAAACAATTCTCAGTGTCACTATATGACTAATTATATTCATTGTATTTAAGCTTTTTCACTGAGCGAAAATTAAAATATTAACAAATATATTTATAGAAAAACTAAGTATCAAATTATTTTTAAAATTATACCATGTGTAGAAAATGCTAGTAAAAACATATGGCGAAAATATCAAGTTTACTTTTTCATTTTTGAGTAGAATAAAATAATTTTTTTGTTAAACTGGTTACCTATGTGTTTCTTCATATTTTTTTTAAAAAATTTTTTGTTTTTCTTTGTTATTTTTAAAAGTTCTGAGAATCTTAAATTTAGACTTCTTTTAGTACCAATTTACTACCAGAAACCCCATTTGAAGTGGAATTTTTACCGATTCAAAACGTGGTGATAGACACTTAAAATAATTAAATAAAATAACACATCATTGTAAAATCAATACATTTGGCACTGCTCAGAATCTAAAATTTACCTGAAAGTTAAACTTTAAAATAATAAATAGGTAAGACGTTCAGAATTGTACTTTTATTTCTCACTATTTATTACCATTAATTTTTCTCAGAGCTATTTAATATTATTTAAGAATATTTTACTTTTAGAAATAATATTAATATTAATCTAAAATTTTTAGATAAATAAAAATAAAAATAGTTCCTTAAATGTTGCCAAACAAATATTTAAATACTTAAGTTGTTATATTATCAATTACTAGCTGTCAACCTCGTGTTCCGCCCTCGTTGCAAATTGTGAGGCTGTTTTGAGGCTGTTTTGAGGCTCCAAAAATCCTGTCTATTTAACTTTCAAAGTTTTTTTTATATGAAGAGTAATTGAACTGTATGCAGAGTAGTGTAAAACTGATAAAAACTCATCTGAACTTTTCCGTTACCCTTAAAAAAAAAAATCTGATTGTTCAACTCCTTTTGGGAGGAGTTACTTATTATATTTTAATGTATAGCCATCTCGAATGGCGTTATCCCATGAGATTCGCAGCAGTATATTATATCAGGTAGGCAATCAACCTGCAGTAGATCGCAGCCGCCGTGCGGTTTGTACTGGTGGAAAACATAGGTTAGCGCCAAAATGAGATAAGAAAAAAAATCTTGTATAGTACGAAAGCGTCAAATCATATCATCGTATCATTTGAAATCTCAAAAAATGTTTGATAAGTCCTAGATAAGACACTTAGACACTTACCTATGTGCCACGCTTAATAGATGTTAGGTAAATTTAGAACTATACATTATATTTTAACAATTTTTTATAAGATCAAAAAAATCAACCGATTTATTCAAATTATATTTAAAAAAAATTCTGATTGTTCAATTCCTTATGGGTGTAATATATGATGTTGAAGCAATTATATCTTTTAAGTGTAAATGATATTATATTATTATGTATAGCCATCTCGACTGGCTTTATCTCGTAAGATTCGCAGCAGTATATTATCAGGTAGATCGCGGACACCGTGCAGTTTGTACCAGTGGAAGACATTAGCACCAAAATGAGTTGGTATCGTACTAAAGCGCAAAAATCCTAGATACCTGTATGCCACACTTAATAGATATTACATTTGGAACTATATATTATATGTTTAACAATTTATTATTGACAATCTATACTATAAAAGCAAGTCCAGATTTTGTGTCATTTCCTCTTTTTATTTTAACAAAATTCTTCAAAATTAACAACTAAATCTAAAACAATCATAACCAATAGCAACCTTACAATAAACAAAAATATATATATATTATTTAGTTTATTTTTTTCCTGTACAGATGTTGTAATTTTGACATCCAGATTTCCTAATTTTCCAGTAGTTTTTCCTGAAATTTTCTTTCATAAGAACCTTGTCCTGACAATTACGAACATACCTAACAAAAAAAGAAACAGCCAAATCGGTCGAGCCATTTCGGAGCCAACCCGTGACACAAAATCTAGACTTGCTTTTATACTATAGAGATAAAAATAAAAACAAAAACAAATCTTTGTTCAATGAATATTTTATGTACATTATTTTTATTTCATGTAGTTTTTAATTTTAATTCTAATACCATTTATTTTTTAGATAATTGGCAGAATAATATTCAATGGCCAAATGGTTTAACTTCCAGCCAATCGATGGGCTTTAATGATGTAACACCTTGGAGTGCAGATTTCTCAAATCCATTTAAAGTAATTATCTTAAAATAATCATTTTATATTTGTTTAAAAGCTCAGCAATGTATAAGATGTTTTTATTTATATAGGTTGGATCAGCCTCTCCGTTAAATAAACATTCAAGCAATCCATTTTTATAAAACCATTCACGTCTCACCAGGGAAAATTAAATTATCTGGTAAATCGGAAAGCATTCAACATCAATGCATAACCATAGCAACAGATTTATTATATTTTATTTATAATACTATGTTATAAATCTAAACTTGGCGAAAAATATAATTAAACATATTCAATAATAATAATTAGTAAGAAATATTAATTATTTAATTAATTATTTATTTCAAGCATATAATCTCATCATATAGCTAGCCATTTATTACTCTATTCCTACATTCAAATTTATGCAACTGTCTAGTCTTGAAAATATTTATAGTTCGCTTCAAGTTTTTACATAGTTATTTTTTACATAAAATTATTTTTGTAAGTTTTAAATATATGCCTATGCAACTTAATACACTATTCAATATTTCACATGATCAGTGTATAAGACAAATGTTGCAGTGTTATATCCATTAATATTCATAAAACACAGTTAGTTTTGCAAGTTACAACTTATGAGACAAGAAACTTATTTTTATATTTACTCCATAGTCGTAGCAAATTAGTGAATTTGTCAATTTATTTCATGCCCAAACTTTTAAGTTTCACCTGAATACTTTAAAGAGTTGTGCTTAAGTTTTGATAATTTTTTTTAGTAGGTATCCTTATGTACTATAAAGTTCACAGCAGTCCCAATGTTTTTGAATTTTTATCTGTTTGTCCAAGTGTACTAAAATAATTTTAAATTAAATTATTATACTACTTTAATTTATTTATAAATGTATTACTGGTATTTAAGTATACATTTAAATTTAATAGTATGTCATCAAAATCATTTTCTTTTCATGTCTGTTACATAAATTATAATTTTATATTTTTTTAAATATTGATCACTTATGTTCAATGTTTAATTGTAAACTTCAATACTTCTTAGCTTATTCATATATTTTTAAATTTATAAGAAAGTATAGTCATTATTAGGATAAACCAAAATATAAACTTAATGTATGCAATAAAAATTATAAATATTGGGATTGCTAAAAAGTGTATACTTGAATGTATTTTAAGAGATCCGTCAATTCAATTGTAAAAACAAATAAATTAAATTAAATAAATAGTTTATTTAAAGAATCTCTATCCTTATATTTTAAATGCGTATACAAATTTATATCAAACATTTAACATGTATCATACATTTGTACTGGCTGTAGTTAATATCAACTATTAGTATTTAAACAATATTAATTATTTTATCTTTTTAATTGTTTATTAATGTTGAATTCAAATTTATTTTTGATTGAAAATATATTATTATATAAAATTTGTCGTAGTGATTACTATATAAGTTATTTAGTTATTTAACTTATTTCGAACAAAATTTTAGCCACTTAACTATTTTGAGTATTAGATTTATAAATTGTAGTATTGAGTCAAAAAGAAAGTTGTTATTTTTTTTTTATGTACAAAGAGTTAATTGTAATATTCATAAAATTGAAAAAATTGAAAAAAGTATTCCTGAAACAAAGTACTATTATATTTTATATTTATGTTTACAAAATTTACCAAGATTTTACCTAATTATTGTTCTTGATGATTATAATTCTATTTGTTTGTAATGGTAAGTAAAAATTGGTGTTTTAAAAAATCATTGTATTTATAAAAAAAAAAAAAAAAAATGTTTAAAGAAATATTTAGCATCAAAAAAATTGTTATAACAGTAAGGTGGTGTCATTAAAATATAATAATTGATATACACAATTTAATTTGAAATTAAACTTGAATATTTCATTTATTTTTTTTATGTTGTATATTACCTACTAATATTTTAATGTATACATATTTAATATGGCTAAACTAAAAACCACAACAAAGATTTTAATTAATTTTATAACTACTAAGTTAAATGAACGAATGTTAATGTATATTGTAGTTATAACATACATTAATCCTACATTTTATTATATTATATGGTTTATAATTTTTATTTGATGCTAAATTTGCTTGGAATTATGTTTGTGTGCACCAAAGTATGTTAATCATGTTTAACAAATGTAACTGTGATAAATTTTTTATTGTACCTAAAATGTATCTTTAATTTTGAAGAATATTTATCTTGGAGTAAGTTAAGTTTGTTGGATTAGTATTTTGAATGGGCTATATTTATCAAAGTCAGTTTTTACCCATTGGTTGTTAAATTAATTATTATTTAATTTTTTCTAATAAAAAATTATAAAAATACTCCTTTAAAGTAACTTTCTTCTCAAATTATTTATGTTTTATAAAAATACCTATTGCGTATAAAATGTCTAATCATATTAATAATTCATAAATCCTTATAACGTAAAAAAAGTTGTATAATATATACATATATAGATTATAATGTATTCATGTTAACACCCTTATGCATACGAGTTCATTAATCAAGAATCAAATATTTTTGTTTAAATTCAATCTAATAATATTGAACTGTACCCTCTCTTTCCTTTTATATTTTAAGTTGCTTAAACATTATTTTAATTTAGTGTACTTGCATAGCAATTTAAAAATATTTATTTGACCTTGATCACCGTTTGTCAATTAAATACACTTATTTATTTGTTTTATATTTCCATACCATACATTTCAATATCTAAACATTTGTAACGGCCCTTTTTATATGTACCTCGGCTGTTTTACCTAATACATTATTTTTTTATATGTTGCACAGGGTGATCCATAATTTAGATAGTTCTATATTGATTTTCAGGTAGATATTGCTATTCAAATCTAGATGTGTTTCGTTGTTTTTTTATTAAATGTATTTATGTTGAATAATAGTACTTGAAACTTACAGGGTTGTGGAGAATAAATATTTTACCGAAACAAATGTATATACAATAAGCATAAAACATTTTAATATTGAATTATACAAGTATTATAGGCAAATTATTCCTAATTAACAATACAATATTATTATGTCAATGAAATTTACCTAATTCAATTGAAAAATTTACCAAAAATACTATTAATATATTATTCACTTCCATTAAAAAAAATATATATTTCTGATTTAACACTAATTGTTATTCATAAAACTCCCAAAATAATTTTTGTATGTGCGTTAACGTTTTATTGAGAAAATATTTACTAACAACATAATCCTTAGTGTCACTATATTATTTGAATAAAATATTTAAATTATTAATTTCATTTTAATATTAACTGATATTAATTGGAAAATATATATTTAGTATTTTTTTTTAATTTCATCCACCTAACTTAAGAATATAATAATTATTTTCTAATGGGGGTACCTATATGGTCACTTTTTATAAAATAAAAATATACCCTATTGTATATACCTATTGATTAATTTATATTTATATAACTCAAGATCTATTTTGACATTTTTGTTAACCTCTGTGGTAGAGCACATGAACTCATATCAAATCTAAAGGATTGTTAATACTAGTACAATATGTTTACACAACTAGTGAACAATAAATGTATACAATATTTAATATTATAAGTACCTATTATTATTGTTATTATTATTTGATGTACCATTACTTTTTAGTTGAAGTTATTTGTCACTAAGGTTGTGTTTAACCTAATCATCATTAATTTGTATAACCAGTGTAATTTTTATCATATTTTTTAGATTTATGTTGATTTAAAATAAACATTTATTTCAATAGAGAATAATATAATATATTAAACTGTAATATTACTAGTGGCGTCATTTCATATAAGTGTTCTTTAATACATATTCAAATAAACTACTAACCTACAAACCTACTACTTAGCTTGCAAATGTATTTTTACATAAAATCCTCAAATCCTGCCAATGACGCCACAATATATTACTTTATAAATTGTATTTCTTAATAATTATATAATTAAGGTAACGGGTAGGTAGTTACTATATACTTTTTTGTAGGTAAGGATATTTAGATACCATAAAACCTAGTAATTTATACAATAGCTAATATCACACCTGTCAAAAAATTTACTATGTATCTAATTATCCAATCTGTCTACCAGTGAAAAATGATTACCTACCTATGTATTTAAATATTTTGTAATATAAATAATATTAAGTACAAAAATATTTAAGAATAATTAGATAACATTAACATCTTATCATAATAATATATAAACATAATAATATGTTTATTCATAAGTACCTATGTTAGTGTAATTTAATTTAAATTAAATTTTGGATTTCATAGTACCTATCTACCCAATTACCTATCTACAATCATACATTTAAGATAGATAGGTACTATAATAATGATATATAAATGTAAAATAAAAATATTTATTGTGATTTATGTGTTCCGAATCATAATTATTGTTAACACATTTATATATTTAGGAATCTCTTGTAAATTCAACAATTGTCTATTACAAAATACTACATTTATATTTTATTAAATTTATATACAATGCATAATTTAACACACACACACTATACGTCTATACCAGTGGTCTTCAACTTTTTTGGACTCGCAACCCACTTAAGCTTTATAAAAAAACAAAAAAAGCTAAAATTGCTTTGTAGTAGTATTATTATGACTGAATAAAAAAATGTATAGAATAGAAAAAAATGAATATGATGTTTGTCCTTAAGTGTTTTCACATAATAAATTCCACCTACTATAATATGTAGTTGTATCATACCTGTATATGAAACATATACTGTGATTTGATATTCATTATATTATAGAATATAGGTAGATTAACTTTTTTTTTCATTTATTTGACATTTATTTAATCTATTAAGGGCGTTCCATGCGGCGATTTGCTGTCGTTGTCTAACATAAGTGTAAATGGCCTGACAAAAATTAAAGTATTTCTAATTGTTCGATTTCAAAAATGTAAAGATGTTTGAATTGGTATACAAGTTTACTTTGCATCGGTCGAAGTATATTTTTAATATTTTTCTATAAAATTAAAAATATTAAAAATATTCTCATCAAATTATTGCTACAATTGAAAAAGTACTTTTGTATACCAATTAAGTACCTTCATTTTTGTCAGGCGCTTAAGTTGTTAT